TGGAAGAATATCAATAGCACTAAAATTTGCCCCCCCCCACCCCCCGCCGCCCCTGCAGCTATTTTACACTACCAGCAGCCCTGACAGTGCTGAAATGCCTGTCAAGAACCAACCTGCGTAGGAGTGAAGCTGTCAGCATCTCCCTGCCTCATTTAGGGACAGGGATATTTCACCAGCATACCTGAAAAAGCAAGAGCTAATGATTGGGAAAGGACTACTACCTAGAGAGCTGATTTAGTACCCTCTGCTAGTATATGCTAGAATGCTGGACATTCCCACCATCCCACCTGAGCCTGAGAGGAGTGAACCACTTCTGATTCACTCACCACCCACTCAGCTGAGGAATGCCCTGTCCAATGCAAGTGTAGCCTTAAGGTACACAGTCTTGCTCCCATTCTGCTGAATTCAGTGTCTAAGCTTAAAAATACCCCCTTCCCGTCCCCCTAGGATACTCTGCTGTTCGATTTCCTTCGTAACTGTGGCCCAATGGGGCTCCTTGTGGGATTGGATCCTAACCAGGTCACCAGCTGCCCTGCCCAGAAAGATTTTAGATGCAAGAGAGACACTCAAAACCCACCGTTTCCAAAGACAATGATGCTTTGCCTTTTTACACATAGCCCTGGCTGTGGATGCCTTTCTACCTCTTTAAATGCCTGAGCATCTCCAAGTCCAAGGCTATTTTTGTTACCAGTTCTGAATTGGTTAAATGCTTTAGAAGAGGAACACCCTGCAGTTCTACACATTTGGGTGTCAATACATTTATGTATTTATGATTCTATGATTCTATACATTTAGGGCAGGACTGTTGGAGATGCCTCCAAAAGAACCCAGTGGTCTTTAGCTCAATAGTCCACCACAGAGAAGGCTCCATGAGCATTGCACAGTGGTCAGCTATTTGTCCCGGGCCAGACCCTTAAATCCTTACAAAAACTACACAAAGGAGCAGGCTTCATGACACCTGCCTACACAAGGCTGGTTTCATGTAACCCGACTGGGTGCATGTAAAAGGCTGTTAGCTGGGAGTTCGTGCCTCCCGTCTGTAGCAGCTTTTGACACCTACTCTGTACAGCTGCTAGCTGTGGGGATAAATATACTTGCAGGGCGAGGTAAAAATAAACTAAAACAACAACAACAACAAAAGATTTCCAATCCCATGTAAAATCTGCTGCAGAGGCACTAGGGGGAGAGCTAGAGCACCTTATGGGTTTGGATTTTTCCCATCTCCCGGTTATTTCATCATTTCCACATGACTGAAGTGCACCTATGCGCTTATTTTAATTAAGACCCCAAAACTCATAACAAGGCTTATTTTGCATGAGGTACAAGAAATTGGACATAGATGTGCACACAGATGAGTGATTGCTGTAAACACATATCTTAGGAATACCTTGTATTTCTCCTCTTTTTGCCTTTTCACCCCTGCTACTTTCACTTGTGAGCAGAAGAAATGTTTCTAACTTCTCATTGCCTGCTTACCTTTGTACCACAACTTCCTTTGCTCAATTAGAGCTCTGGGAATGATCTAATAAAGTGCTCTCAAGCCTTCAAGCTGTTTCCAGTTATGACATAAATATATCGATTGGGGAGCACAGTCCTTTCTTTTTCACAAGTCACTATCTGCAGCAAGCACCTTTATTGCAGTAGCAAATACACTGTAGATAAAACTTTAGCTAAACTAAATCTGTTAATAACTGCTGCTAATTAGTTAGTCACAATTATTTTATTTCAGAAAATAGACTAAATGGAACATTTTCACCTTCTAAAATTGATACTGGGAACAAAATGAGGTCATGTCTTCAGTAATTCAATACTAAATTATTTTTAAGGCTGCAGTGCTGTACAGTTACTGCATGGTAATTAAGAATCAGAGGATCTAGGTTCAAATTGCAGTTAATTTTCAGTATACTCTTGTGACGTGATTACATATTACCAGGTCCACTTTATTACTGGTAAACCAAACCACAAATATTATTTATAATTTGTTAGAAGCAGAAAAAAAAAAAAAAGTGGATCTGGGGCTAGAAGAACTATGTAGGAGTACAATTAAAAGGCTACAAGGGAGAAAAAAAGCAATGACCCAATTAACTAGAAGTGCTGCAAATTGTTCATGTATTTTACATGCAGAAGAAGATTAATGCAAAAGCCTGCTAGCCTGCATAACATGAGCAGTAGAACTCCAGCCTTTTAAGTTCCCTTAGTAGACATTTTTTCCTTTCCCATTTTACAAACAAAAAGTCAAGGCTCATAGGTCCTCGATAATGCAGCATCTAGTTTCTTGAGGAGAGAGTTCTTCTGTGTTTCAAGCTTCTCAGCATATAGCTGTTTTCATTAATATGGCATTTCGTTGAAAAGTGAAATTCACATTTCACTAAAGTGAAAATAGGAGCAACAAATTAGTGCATAAACACTGAAATTAAAGTTTCATTCATCTCATTAATATTTTACCAGTAACAGTGGCTACTCCCTGCTGCCATTAGTCAGTCAGTAGGCAGTTCCATCACCATCTTACTTAGAAATATTTCCAGCACATGAGATGCAGAAATCAGATAACTCAGATAAGTTAGTCTTTCTTCCTGGCTGTTGTGTAGCCAAATACACTCATGTCTTAACCTAATTTCTACCTGATCTTACACAGCTCGCTTTGAAACTCCTTGCAAAAATCCTCCCTTGACATTTATCTAAAAAAGAGAAGCAGACCATACTTTCAATTTCAGCCACAACAAAACAGATAAAGCAGGTCTCCTCCCTTCTTTTTCCACCATATATCTATTTGTTTAGAAGCAGAGTTTATCTGCTTTCTCAGTGAACCTAAACCTCCACCAGAACTCAAAAATGGGGCAGCCACTTCCCTGCTCATCTGCATCAATAAGGCACAGATGTGCTTCTACAAAGTCAGACACCTGCCATCCCCAGCCTGAGTGGGTTTTGATTTTAATTTTTTTTCTTCAAGAAGAAAGCAGCCATACCTGTTTCATTTGCAAAAGCCTATATGCTTTCTGTCTGAATTATGCATTGGTGCATGTACTAAATGCAAGCATGAGGGTATTCTTATTTGCCCATGCATTCACTGAGGTTTGTGCATGTAAGCTGCAATAAAGCAACAATGCTGGCTGATGACAAACAGTGCATGTGAAGTTACCTGACCCGTAACCTAAAGGAGAACTTACACCTCTTAAAGTAGTGCCCTACCTTCCTACAGCACTAGCTGGGCCACACATAGATATTAACAACTTCATTCTAAATCTGCATCTCTCAGCTCTTTCTTGCAGCTCAGGATGTGCTCAGTTTGAGAGCTCCAGTCTCAGTCCTCACTGCAGCAGCAGCAGGTCTCCAGACCAATCAACAAATGTGAACTGAGTGAATAGATGTGAAACTTCCGTGCCTAAAATATTTCCCCTACTCTCCCAAAACTGTATTTTTCATTACACATTTCTCATTTCCATTACTTCACTAAATAAATAGTCTGAGTTTCTGGTATGAGTAACACTAATAGCTAGACTTAGTTTCAGTACGCATTCTGATACCTCCATGGTAGCAGAGGCTGACAAGTGTTCTAGTGTGCAAGGTGGCTTTCATTTTTTGTTTTGGGGGAAGGTCATTGCAGGCATGTTGATGTACAACACTGCAGGGCAGGACTCCAAATGCAACCCAGAACTTTGGTCACAGCCTTGCCCTTTTTAATCTCTCCGAGGTAGTTACATTGGGCTCCTGGCTCCAAGCAGTGACATGGTACATTTAATGCCACTCACTGTGCACTTCAGTAAGGGGCCGCTACCAAGGGCAAGCTCCTAATCCATTCTGTAAAGCCCTGGGAGAGTGCAAAAAGTTTCAGAAAACAGTTGTTTGCCTGTTCTTCCTTCATCTGCTGAAAGGATTTCTCTTTCACTCAAACAGAAGTCAAAGCATGACAGGCCCCTACACACAGAGAGATCTTGAGGTTCTGTGATTCAAGAGTGTGAAAAAGTGTGTAAGTTCAAAAGCTGTAAGGCAGCAAGTCCAACAATTCACAGGTCCATGAAAATTCATCATTTAATTAAGATTTTCACAGTAGCTCTATGAGCAGTATTTTGATGTGCTGTGAAGGAAAGAGGCATGTGGAGAGTGTACTTGCTCAGCTGGAGCCAGACTGTGCTTACCTGGGTGAAGAACGAATATTTGTTGCTGTTTTCTCTGAACATTTAACTTTTTCTTATTTCTCATGTGATCATAGTGCATAATGGTGTCTCCGGTGTGCCTTCCACCTAATGTATTATCTACTGCTGTCAATTTAAACCAGCCTAGAACAAAGCCCATAATTTCTTCTGCAGCTCTTACATGGTTTATCCTCAGGGTTTATGAAGTAAATCAGTATGTGGCTCTGCACCTCCAGCCAATTTCAGCATTAAGAGAAAATAGATAGTACAGATAATTCTCTCCTTCTGTGTACCAAGTTACAGTGAGAATCAACTCACTGGTGTGAAGTTTTCTGTTTTCTGCTATCAAAACAGAAAATGAGAGGGGAATAGAGCTACCCATATAGCATGCATCTCGGAGAAACTAAAGACATGCTGCACTTTTTTTTTTTCCTTATCAAACAGAGCAGTAATAAAGAGGCTTATTTAATTGGGAAAAGACAATTAACATTTGAAGAGGTATCCTGTTGCTTTGAGGAAGCTTGATTTTGTGCAGTGTATTTCTTTCAAACTAGAATCTCTAAGTGCCTTGCAGTATTAAATACATCAGCTGAAGACCTAAATAATAAATAAGGCCAGGGGAAGACAGACCTTTTAGAAAAGCTTCCTCAGTCTCTAAGTGGTCATTTCTTCCATTTTTAAAGAGGATGTACACTCCTCCCCCTCCCCCCGCCCTCCACCCCCCTCCAAAAAAACCTCTCTCAAATTGGCTGATGATAAATATTACACCTATTTACACACTCCATCTTTCTGCACATAAATGCACACAATAAGAGGAGGTATGGATGTTTAGGAAGTCAGTTTAGACATGGATGATTTCCTTGGCTTTTACTTGCCTTAACTGTGTGACTCTTCCAGTGACCCGTTTCTGTGGCAACTGCCACCTCACTAAAATTATGCTGTCTCACTGTCATCAGACAATGTTCAGAAGGTACACACATTTAACAAAGACGGGGAAAACCTTCTGTGTGATGTTTGTGGGCTTTCCTCAGAGCACCTCCACCTTCAGAGAATCTACAGGCGCTGTGTTTTTACACGCATTGGATTTCAGCAGCCTGCTCTGCTGACAATGACTTCCCTTCTTGTTTAATCATGCATTGCTTGCAGACTTCCAGCCTCCAAACTCTATGGTGGTTTAGACTGGATATTAAGAAAAATTTCTTCACTGAAAGGGCTATTAAGCACTGGAACAGACTTCCCACGGAAGTGGTTGATTCACTATCCTGGAAGGTATTTTAGAAACGTATCAGGCACAGCACTCAGGGACATGGTTTAGTGGTGAAATCGGCATTGTTAGGTCAGTGGTTGGACAGGATAATCTTGAGGGTCTTTTCCCACCTAAATGATCCTATGATTCTGTTCTATGACTCTGTGGGACCCTATTGCTATCTATCACCCTGCTGTGTCAAGGCAGGCAGAGGCACCTGCTGTGCCACATTGCTGCAGTGACTCCAGGTCAGTTCTACAGTACCTGGCACTGGGATTTTCAGTTTTGTTGCTGTAGAGCAAGGAATTGAGTTGCAGGTTGTAAAATCTATCCATGGAGCAGTATAAATACAGACTGCAGATGAGCCCCAGGCTTGCACAGCTATGCATAATCAGTCCCTGAACTAGTCAGGGTGTTCCTCCATAAGACATGACTCCTGTGGGGAGTCCAGTATGCAAAATCTTTGCTTTTCATGAGGTACACACTGCAATGGGAGATGTCCAAATAATCTCCACATAGTTCATCACAACTGAGTTCAAAGCTGAGTTTTAAAACAGATCAATTTGAGAGCATTTATTCACATGAGAAACTGAGTGTTTCTAATTGTCTGTTTGATTTTTGAGATATCCATCTTGAAGGTAACACCTGTCTCATACTGCATGAGAATTCACGCATTCTGTGCCTTTACCAAGGAACAGACACAAACCAGGAGGGGTGGATTTGAGCTTCAGAGCCTCCCTTCTCTTCTCTTTCCACTGGCATGGTATCCTTACAGTAAAGGCAACAGTGGAAACAGAGACCTTTTGCTTATACAACATTGCTTCACTAGAAGCTCATGAGGATATTTGCATATGACATTGTGTGACAGCTGAATAATGCTTTTAATAAAAACATAACTCAGTGCCTTCAGCCTGGTAACTCTGCTTTTCATAACATGCTATATCAATGTCAGGAAGCTGTCAAAAGCTATGAATGGCGCTGAAGGAAAGAGCTAATGTCGTTTCCTCAAGTCTGTGATCTACATAACGGGAAAATATTAACACGGAGGTATTAAACACAAGATCCTTCTGGTTCTAAATGTGCAGGGATTTTAACTCAACTGAAGTGTTTGGAAAATGTGGACAGATTTTTCAGCCAGCATGAATCAGTATAGTTTATATTGACTTCAGCTTAAACAAGCTGACTTCTCCTGGGGATGCAATACAAATATTGACAAATCTGCTGTTACTCATTGGAAATAATGAGTTGGGTGGAAACAGATTCAGCATGTGGCCACACAAGGCCAATTCAGTCTCAGTTGGGTTTTGAATTGGAGGCAATATTAGACGACATGGTTAAATTGTTCTCCAGAAAGCCCTAGAGCAAGTCAGGGTGCTGTGAGGACCTCAGTGCTCCTCCATGGCAGCATGGCCAGCAAAACAGAGCCCTCACCCACAAGGGGGCAAGGATGCTGAGAAGCCAGGGCAGGATCAGGTCCAGGGCAGTAATTGGCATCAGGCACAGCTGTGTAGTCGCCAAGCAACTCTGTAGAGGCAAGACACAAGGGAAAGTCAGGAAACTGAGCTGGTGGAGCTGGATCAGGGCCAGAATCACAGCAGCCGGAGCCAGGGTGCAGTCAGTGCTGCAGCACAGCAGCAATGTAGCACAGGTGGGGGCCAGGGGTAAAGCAGCTGAAAAGCAGCTCCCAGGAGGCAGGAGGATTAGGCCTTTGCTTCTGTGTTTCTTCACCATAGCCCTTATCTGCAGAGGCATTGACCTTGGACATAGCCAGCTATGCTGCAGAAGGGGATTTGCCCAGAGTCCTGGCAAGGAGGAGGTTCAGTTTTTCCATCCCTATTTAGAAACATAATTTTCTTCACCTCCTCCTAATCTCCGTGGACAGATAGCAGTCAGGAGAAAACTAACTGTTGAGTGACTTCACCATGAAAGAAGAAATCAAGTGTATTTTAATTTTAAGAACATGTCCAGGGAATTACAAAACGGGTTCAGATAGCAGAAGAGCTTTTTAACATTCTGCTTGCTCTTTGCAAGGAGTATGAAAGCCCAGGGGGTTATCCTTGTAGACAAGGAATTTAGAGAAACTGGTCCATCCTTGGTGAAAAAATCACACAAAATACATGTTATTGCTACTATTGTTCCTGCTACTAAACACATCTGCCACTTTGGAGGGGCTGGGCCGTTAGTGTGGCTTTAATGCCAAGTAATGACAGGCATCCCAGGTAGGCTTGGAGGGGATGGGCGGCCCGGCAGCTTCCCTCCCCTTCTGAAGGTCCCTGCACAGAGACTCCAAGGAACAGCTCTGCACAGGAGTGCTGAGTATGGATCGGAGTATGGAGAGGATTGTTGTGGGATGGAGACAGATCACGCAGAAAAGACTCCAGGGATGAAATGTCAGGCCACCCAGCTCTTTATCTGAAGAGAGCTAAAAGAAGGTGGCATCCTAAGCAAATGATTACTAAGCAGTAACAATGCGTTCAACCCACAGAAAGTAAGTGACTGCAGGGATCCCTTGCTTTACTCGACCTAAATAAACATGTACTCCTTCTTTGAATATTTTATAGTGCTCTGGCTTGTAGCTTGCTTTCCACTTCCATGCCCTGGTTTGAACGTTGTTTTCTGATGTCATTTGGAACAGTCTCAAGAAAGAAAAGATATGAAAAATATTTTTAAATTAAATAAAAATGAACAAAATGGGCATTTCCATCCCTGGTATCTGGGGCAACAGATGGGGTGGTGAAAAATATGCCTGCAGGGCAAAATTCTGCTCCAATCACTTTTGTGCCCACAGCAGACAGTTTTAATTTAAAGCACTGAGGATTATGCACTATGGAGCTACACTTTGTTAATTTATTATCCTTCATCTTAATCCAGTGTATAAATCATGACAACAGGCAAGTGTGTAGCAAAAGGTGTAGACTGTTCTGTCCCAGCAAACAAGCAGAGTTAGAAAATGTGGGAGTTTTTTAAACTGACATGTAACATTCTCTTCACATTTGAACCTCCTAATCTATGTTAAAATACCCCGTCAGCCAACTAGCAGTCTTTTAGAGAAAAGGTAGAAACTACCGTATTTAAAATGGGAAGACAGAAAGTTTGATAAATAACCTATTTTCAGTATCTAGTCTCTAAGAATTTATTAGGATGAGATAAAGAAAGTGATTCAGAATTTTTGGCTGGCCACTTTATGATAACACTGAGTCGAAAAGAGAAAGCTTTTTGGTTGTTGTTGTTTTAATAACTCTGTGCTGTGTTGGTATGCACAGTGATGAAGCCTTCCCTTTCACACTCAGTGCACATGAAATCATGCACATGCTGGTCAGAAACCAGCACCTCCATCATGAGTTTTATTTCTTTCTGGATTAGGTTTCTGCCACGTGCCAGTTGGCTCACCTCTTTAGGAGCATTGATCACTTGTATTAAGCAGCTAAAATAGGCAATGTGAATTCCCCTTGAGTAGTTCCCTATTTTAGTTCTGTCTGTGAGTATTCATACTTTTCTCATTTGAGCAGGACTTTTACCTCTGGTTTCAAGCCAGGTGTGTGTTCAGATATGGCAAAGTGGCCTGGAGATCACATGAGTATCTCAGAAAGGCATGCAAAACTTGTTCCCCTAGATGCCTACTTGCAGCTACTGGAACTGTGGAATGATATAACCTTGCGTAAATAACTTAACTGGGTCTACAGATAAAATGATACTGTAAGAAAACACTGTCTTGCTGGGGGAACAGTTCCTGGATGTTTCCTGCAATATGTAAGAAATCAAAAGGAAACACCAAGGACTGCAGAAAGACCTTTGTGTACAACTGGTGTGCAGCCCACATGCAGCTGAATTTCTTTCAGCTTATATAGAGTGCTGGTCGTGTCCACCTATAGAGGGGATATATCATCCACCCATATGGGTGAACAAATGATCATGCATATTTAAAAGGCTTTCTCATTTGGGGAAGATGAAATCAGGAGCTCCTGCAGCATAGTATGCACAAAGGAAGTATTTCACAGAGGTATCAATCAATAAATGTGGAATTACTTTGGCCATATTTCAGCCATGGCAACTGTGCTCATCATATAGGAAGACTTTGCTTCACATCAGTGAAAGCGGCATGCACAGATTATGTGGGAGCCATACAGGGAGGATGGGGGAGGCATGTAGTAGAGAGCAAAATAATTAGAGAATGGGAAGTGTTCAAAGATGTTTGTATATAATTAAAAGAATAATAATAATAATAATAATAATAATAATAAACAAAAAATCAAAAGGTCCTGCTTACATATAAGGCTTCCTGGCTATTCTAGGGGAAGTGGGATAGTGAGAAAAGTGCAGCATAAGTGGTCAAAGATGCCTAAAAAATGTGGTTTATTTCTGGACTTCAGGCACACTGGTACAATGCATACAAAACCATTTGACTGTCTTGGACAATGTGCTAGAATTCCCAAGCCGAATGATTTGAAAAATCACTAGCTTTTTCATTGCTAAAATCTCAGTCCATTACTATCAATTTAATCACCTGTTAGCATGTTGCTGGATGCAGACATTCCTTTATATCCCAATAATAACTTTCTAACTATTTTTCTTCAGTTAACGGGCAAGCAATAAATAGATGATCCACCTATCCACAAGTTGGTGACTGATTTAATTAGGTTCTAGGTTAAAAAATTAGAAGATTGCATTGCCAGTAAGTCTTTACCCTGCATTCCCCTGAAGATGTTTGGAGCAAGAGTAACATCCAGTGGTCAAAATGTTAATTGCATTATATGAGGACATTGCATGCTGGCAAGCATATTAACAGCTGCATCTTTATTGCAGTAAAAAAGCAGGTGAATGCAAGCCTTGAAAACTCAGGATCGTGCTTACATTGCACAAAGTAAACTTACACAGAGCAACACATCAGTATTCCCACAAGGTTGGTGTGTTTTTCCTGCTCATGCCAAGTGAGATGTACCGACCTTTAAGTCTGTAAATGCTAAGACTAAGGACTTTCTGGTTAGATGAATGCCCCTGCACACAGATACCATACACCAGGCCATATCCTAAAGAAAGAGGGAGGAAAAGGAATGGGAGGAATGTGCTGTGACCTTGGTCTGATGTCTGTGGAACAAACCCCTGAGCATAGGATAGTGCAGACTTGTCCGTGGCTTAGTGATCTCAGGCACCAGGAACAGCTGAAACCAGCAGAACTCTGTCCTGGAAGTAGGATGTCAGCACTGCAGGGAGGCATAGGTTGAGTTTGACTCCTACAGTCAGAGCAGAAGGGGAGGGGATGTCCTTAGTGGAGGCTGACACCTATCTGATTACTGGTAAAGGCAGAGTTTGAGCTGTGGGAGGAGGCTCCTGCCTTTCTCCTCCTCAAATGCTCTTTATCATCACCTGGCCTGAGCTGTGAGAAATAGGGTCAAAATAGGAGTCCCACACCGAGAGGCCAAGCCTTCCTTGTGCTTTGTGGACTATAAGAAAACAAGTGACCTCAGATAAAGACTCTGCATGTGCTCAAGGGCATGAAGAAAGGACTTTAGTTTCTACTCTCAGCCAGAAGAAGCTTAATTAATCACACAGCAAGTTAGGGAGCTGCCAGGTGTTCGTGGGGGAGCACTGGGTTTAATCTTCCCAGCAACACAGAGAACAGTACCAACCAGAGAGCAGGGAGCATATTGTCCAGTCAGGAAAATAAGACCGTGAAGACAAGACCAAGAGACCAGAATGTCAGAAATCTATCAGGTGGTAGCTAAAGTTAGACATTTAGGGCTAATTTTTCCCTGGAACTTCAATAAAGGATAAAAATTATAATAATAAAAAAATAGGGTTTAGGAGGTCTGATGTTCACGTCCTTGTGCTGTGTCAGCACCACAGATGAAGAATCGTGGATGAACAAACCTGGGTGCAACTTTGCAGCTTTCTAAGTGTGCCTATAAGCTCTGCCTTTCATGGACAAGGTGCTCTGGTCTCCCCAGCACCAGCAAATTTGTTTTGTTGCACTCCTGTGGTCTTTCAGTGCACCATTGCTCTGTGACCTTGAGGCCATAAAACTTGTCTGGGGCAGTTAATGATTCTCCCTGCTCCCAGGCAAACATTAGCCAAGGTAGAGGGGAACCAGCTGCAAGGTCTGCCTCACTTTCTTTTCCTTCTTCTTTTATTAACAGCAGAAACTTTGCAGCTTTCATGCACAACCATGATTCCCCCAAGTGCTGCAAAGAGGACTTCTCCCTCATCATCTTTCCTGTTGTGAATGTCTCCCCCCAAAATACTGTAAAAAGGTCAGATACTGAGGCATATGCAGGGAGAGCTCGTCCCAAGGGCAAGTTTGTTATTCAGATTCCAGGCTGCTTCACGTGCCTGCGTGGATGTACTTTCAAAATTATTTCCTTCAGGTTCATACTATCTGACATGAAATGGAACATCTCCATGAACAACAATCTTTCACAGAAGAGCTTCTCACTGCTTCCCCTGGGGATTTTCCACCCTGTGTGTGTTCGGTGCGGCACTGCTCTCTATGTTATGCTGTGCTCTGCGTGCCACGGGATTGCTCAGCAAGTCTTGATGGGATACATGGCACAAGTAACTTCACTCCAGTTTTTGGGACAAACTGAAGGGCTCTCCCCACCCAACGGCTCAGCTAGGCTGTGACACTTTCAAACTGCCAGCAGATGGCTATAGGATGGCAGCTCCTCAGGCTGTGACCGTGTTAGGGCACTAAATGCCTTTGCTCGTGTCTCTAGATCTCTCAGGTGTTTTCTCCAAGGGAGTATGAAGGCCAGAGGGCAGGTGGATGTAGAGTGCAGGGTCTTGTGAACCTCTGACACATAGGCTAATCCTTACTGTGTGGGAGTCCAAAGCACCATAACATCTTCTCTTGACACACGTTAACAAAGCTGGCGTTCCTGCTCTTATTCTGAGACAAGAGTACCCCGTCCTGTCCTGCAGAAAGAAAAGAAACCTTCTACTGCCTCACAGAGCAAAACCTGCTTAACTCTCATCTCTGAATACAAGACTGAAAGTGCCTGGAAAATGAGTTGTACACAGCATGTATTAACTAGAAGTTTAAGGCTACAGAGCAGTATCTATTTCGGATCATAATTGTGCACTGCATCCTGCACAGCACATAGGAAAGCAAAGAAAAGAACTTTGCCATGGCTGGGATGTGAAGGCTCAATGACTTTCTAGAGGTTTTGATGTCCCCTCTGAAAACCTTACCACGTGGGACACATTATATGGAATGCCTACATCCCATGGTGCACAACATTTGGCTGTCTTATGAACCATCAGTGGGGCCTGTTGTGCTTTTGGTGGCCCATGAATATTATCCCTGGGCCAGGGAACAAGGCCTAGGTGCATTCATAATCCCTACAAAGGCTGTCCTGAAAATGCTTTGTGAATCCTCCATGAGAAACCCAAAGTGTTCAACAGAATATAACTTCAGTATACCTAAAGCACACCTACTAGAAAAAGCAAACAGCAGCAAATGTGCAAACACTGATAACATGTACGGTGTAGAGATATTTCAATTAATTAATGAATAAAAGTGATTTACACTGAGTCAATGGAAGTTTGGGAGAGGGCTCACAGCCACAGTGGGCACGTTTTCTCTCTGAGGCTGTGCAGGGAGCTCTTGTGCCTGGAGCAGCAAGATAACAAGCTGGCTCATTCCAGGTTGCTTAGTTTCTGTGGTAACAATGCTAAAAATCACATCACATCCCATTCTGGAAAGCCATGTCCAAAGGACACTGCACATATATGCAAGACTGTGGAGGTAGTGAGTCCTTTTCAGATATTCCTCTCAGGTTTCATGGTATCCTGATACAGGAAAGCACCCTGGCATGAGATCTGGTATCTAATGGTATCTAACTGGCTGCCTGTTGCTTTGCATTTTATTGATTCTTGGCAGAGGCTGCACAGGTTCTGTGGCTACAGAACTAGAAGTCTAATTAGCAGCATAAGCAAGGGAGGTCTAAGGGATCATCTGGGTGAGAACTGCTCATGAAGGCATGCAAATGGGATCCAAGTGTTTGCACTCTGCAAGGTTTCTTGCCTCTTAGATACCATATTCTGAAGCCTATAACAACGAACACACGAAGTGCAGCTGTGAACAGTCAGCAGAACCAGGCACAGCGCAGTGTCAGTGCTCATCACACCCCTGCCTCCTGCCAGTGTGCTCGGCCCAGGGCAGCACAGGCATCTCTCCCCACCTGGCAAAAAGGAAGATCTGTCTATCAGTAATGAGAGCACCTCGCTAGAGCCCTCTCTGAGTCTGAAATACGTTTTATCTCCCCTGAGGCCATGATTAGATTCCTCATCCAGTCATCAGTCCCGCTTTGCAAGCAGTTCCAGAGTCAGAGGGGTTTGTTGCTTTGCTTTTCTTTGCAATGTGGTCCTTCCTTGCATTTTGCTTGTTACCACAATAAGACCATCAGTAAATGTAATGCTACATAAGAAAAGTCGTGCCATCAAAAGCTTCTTAGTGAAATAATATTTTCACAGAAAGCAAAATAACTTGCAAAGATTTGTGAAGGCACTAAATTAACCCAGGCTTTCTATGCTGATTTTTTCTATGCTAATTCCCAGCACAGCCAAATAGCACAATTCACAGCTCTTTTGTCTGTAAACACATTTCAAGGCCATTTAACTAGAAATGAGCTGTGGGTGTG